TGCTGCCCCTTTGCGCCCCCCCCAGCCCCATAGCCAGGATGTCTGTCCCTTTTCCTCATGGTGCCCCACGGGCCCTGGCCGCCCAGCCCTACCACCACGAAGCCTGGGCATCGCTGGTGGGCAGTGGTAGCTTGCTGGTTGCTCCAAGTAGGGTTTACAAGTCACTTCTCCCCACCCTGCAAGATGTGGTCCCAGAAGCTCTAAAAACCGCACTCCAGCGCTGATTCCTCTTCCTCCACTCCCTCCCCAAGCTCCTAGAAAAAGACTTCCAGTTCATCCTTTGCGAGGGCTGCAGGCAGGAATCGCCCAACCTCAAGCTCCTCTCTTGCCTCCACACCTTGTGCCTCGGTTGCCTGAGCGAGAACAAGCCCGTCACACAGTGCCCCGTGTGCCAGACATCCATCCCACAAGCCAATGGCATCCCTCACATGGACAACCTGCTCTTCACCAACCTGCGGGTCAGGCTCAAGGTCTATGAGAAGATTGTTGATGGAGTTAACTTGTCCTGCGACAACTGCAAGAAAGGTGTCGAGTTCTGGTGCTCTGAGTGCGAGGAGTTTCTCTGCGCCAAGTGCTTTGAGGCCCACCAGCACTATCTGAAGAGGGAGAGACATGAACCCAAGAGGGTGATGGACATCAGGGCAGGGTCTGCTAAGGACTTCCTTGAGGGCGCTAAGAGGACTGGTAACTTGTCCTGCTCCAACCTGACCCACAAGGGCCAGACTGTAAGGTAGGTCTAAGGAGATCTGTCCCTGTCTGGGTGATTTCTTGTCACAAATTTCTTTGGGCTAGTCTGTGATGGGAGTGAGCAAGGTGTTCCTGTCTCTCTGCTTCCCCAATTGCCACCATGTCATGGAGAATGTGGATGGGAAGTAGTAACTGGTGGGCTCTAGAAGGGTTTCCATGAAGCTGGGTTCAAGCTGAAGGTGGGAGAGTGGGGACAGGGTAGACTGAGGCAGGGGGGTGTGTGGGGTACTGTTTGCTCAGGTAAGGAGGGTGAGGTTGATGGAGCTTAGCAAGGAGGTGGCCTGCAATGGACAGCAGAGAAGAGTGTGTTTTCCTGATGGTGCTAGACTAGCTTGGAGACAATCTGGGGAACAGCATGGGTGCAATGCAGGAGAAGGTTTAAATGCCCTCACGGGGAAGTCCAAGTGAGAGGAGAAGGGGCTGGAGCACCATGGAGGCCAGCACTGATGCTAGCCATGATAGCCCAGATGCAACCTCTGCCTCAGCACGTCCCTAGCCCACCAGTTGCCAAGGCTATGAGGACTATTGTGAGAGATGGATGATGATCTCCACTCCTGATGCCTTATATTCTTGCCTTAGGCAACTTATGGAGATAACGTACTCTTTGGTCCCTGCCCATGGCAGAGGGAGTTGGAACAAGATGGTCTTTAAGGTCGCTTCCAACTCAAAACCATTCTATGCTTCCATGATATAACCCCAGTAAGGAGCTATATCTGCCCATGGAAGGGCAGAGATCTCATTTCTTCACTACCCTTGTTGTGCGTGGATGAATGTCTACCATGACGCTTGCAGTCACCACAGTGACTTTAGCCAGCCCAGCAAAGGAGCAGAAACTGTGAAGATAGTGAACTGACATATTTTTTCTTGCAATTGAGAGCATAAAACCAAACATCTGGCCCAAAAGTGGTGGTAACTCAAAATCAGTGAATAAATTGTGAAGTGCATGGTCTGAATTCCTGCTCTGCTTGTGCTGATGTTGCAGCATCTACTGCAAGAAGTGCTGCAAGCCCATGTGCTGCATCTGCGCGGTGCTGGACGGCCAACACGCCCCATTCTGTGACATCCGTGGCGAGACCCAGCGCAGGCAGGAGGAGCTGGCCACCATCAACCAGGAGCTGAGGCAGAAGAGGAGCATCCTGGAGGCCACCTTTGCATTGCTGCAGGACGAGGCCGCCCGGCTGGAGGAGGCTCAGCGGGAGATGCGGGAGCTGATCCGGCAGCGGGTGGAGCAGCTGGTGGAGCT